TGCCATTTGATATCCACTGAGACGAGTTGGCTGCTCGGGCTCCGGGGTGGGGGGTGGGGGGACGGCTCAGAAAACAGCAGCTCCTTTCAGGACCCAGGTTGGCAAGGGCCTTGGGAGGCTGGACTGGCCCAGATCACCCCCCAACACCCCCGCCCTCCTTCCCTCACTACCACCACTACCAAAAGACTGGGAGGGAGGGGAAAGGGAGTTGGCACTGCCCCGGGCCATGCCTATTGCCTCCCAGACCAGCCCTGGCCCCTCTCCCTGGCATGACGCCTTCCCTCCCCCTCCTCCTCCTTCACTGTTTCCTCCTCCCTGAGGAGCCAACTCGGAGCCAGGACACCTGGTTCCTTCCAGACTTGGCCCCCCACCTACACCGGGAGGAAGCCACAAGCCCTCAGCAAGGGCTGTGCCCACCATCAAGCCAGGGACATACTCAAGGCTTCTGGGAGATTCTTCGGGAGGAAATGAAGAAGAATTCAGGGGTGGCTGCTAGCCACCTGGGTCCTGGGGCTTGTGTCTTGAGACCCTCTCCAGGCCCCTTCAGCCTCCCACCCTCACAGAGGGCAGCACATGCCCATCAGCATATCCCTTCTTTACAGGACTGCCCAGAGCAGTCCCGGGTGTGAGTGGTAGTGGTGGTCGGGGGCGGGGGGCAGGGAGTGGGGGGCTTGCAAGCATTAGCAAGGGCAGACTGGCCAACCTTCTTGAGTCAGAATTGGTATTGATAAGCAATGTAAACAGACTATAAGGCATGGCCTGGACTTCATCACCCCTATATCCCCATCTGCCTCACCCTGCCTGGGACATCTTATTAATAGGAATGAAATTTCAAGGTACCAAAGGCCTCTCTTCCAATTTGAGTGAGTGGGGTTCAGCACCTTCCCTCCAAACCCAGGAGTTCCACCCTCCATCTCTTTCCTAACACAGGTGCAGGGGGTTAGCTCCTGGTGAGGGTTGGAAAGGGGGGGGGGGGGGCGTTCTGCAGAGCATGAGTGCTCTCTCATGAAAGCTGCCGTTCTTACTCCGGGTGCATTGCTGCTGGGGCCCTGGGGATCCTGGAGGCGAAACAGCTGGAGGAGCCAGGTGAGAATGTAGGACAGGGGCTGAATAAGCAGGGGTCTGGGGCACACCTCCCTAATCAAAGCAGTATGTTCTCCTCCTCTGTGGGAATGAGTGATCTGTGGGTGACGGTGTGTATCCCTGGGTGGGGAGGGGGAGGGGCTGGGCATGGGACTGGGAGTACCTTCAGGGCACTGGGAGGAGGGGGCACCCTCTGAGGTTGGGGGTGGGGGGGACACAGTGCATGCCGCAGTGGTATTCGCTGGAGGGGCTGTGATGCAGTACAGGTCTGCTCAGTGGGAGGGGGCTCGAGCCCCTTCCTTGATCAGCCCAGAGCACTGATGTACCTGTCTGAGTATATAGCTCCCTTCGTGGGGACAGTCCATCTGGGGCCTGAGGCCAGAGAACAGGACGGTACCACTGAGGCCAGCCAGGGTAGGGACCACGGGGCTGGGGGCCCTGACGTCTCAGGAGGGTGAGGTGGACGGGACGTCAGCCCGGTGGCAGCATTCTTTCTTCAGGGACAGAGTCTTACCTTAGGTCCGGGGTGGGGTGGCCCCTCGGATGGGCCGCGGGGCAGCGGGACCGACAGACAGACGGACGGGGCGGGCAGGACGAAGGAGAGGAGCTGTGCGGCGGGCGGGGCCGGGCCT